GGGGGGGGGTGGGGGTGAGTGTGGGGGGGGGGGGGGGGGTGCGCGCTAAGTATTTATGTGTGTAACTATAGTGCGCAGCGTTATCTGAGAGCCCAGCTCGGGCCTATGGGAGGGGATGTCCCCTCCTCCCAAAATGAGATTTTTTTTTTTTTAAATTGGGACTTGTAATGGTCAGAAATGGCAATGTCAGCCTTGGCTGGCTTGGTGTAAGCAGTACAGTACTGGGATGGGAAAGCTAGGCCTATTTTTTTTTTCTTTTTGGTCCGACTGCCTGAAGAGCTTTGGCCGATGGGGGGTGCTTGACCAGACCGATGGGGACTTAAGCCACCCCCCCCCCACCCCACTGGCACTGCCCCTGGAGGGTGTGGGGAAACTTTACAGTATTTTATACTTACATATTATATATATATTATATACATTGAAACTTGGGTCATTTATGAGGTTCATTCTCCACAGTGCTTAGGTATCTTCTTGACTTTATGAAATTACATTGCAGTTGAAAAGTGAGTGGGACCAACCCTCCCTCCTCCTTTAAAAATATGTGGGTGACATGTAACCCCATTTCCCACCCCATGATCTGCTCCCATGTTAATCACCATGAATTCAGATGGTGCATCTCAAATATCAAAAAAGCATGCAGTTGAGCCTTGTAAGTGACCAGGATAAGGACCCTAAATATGTTGCATATTTTTTATTTAAAATACATTTAAAAAATAATGAATATGTTATTGACAGATTTTAAGTAGAGGAACCAAATGTGTGCCATTTTGAGGCTATATTTAAAGCAGTGTTTGCAGTGTGTTGCACTTTGCTACATTCTGCCAGTTCTGTCTAAAACCTTCTGCTATTTATTTCAGTACCTTCTATTCCCTTTTCTTCCCTTCATTCAGCAGCCATTTCTTTCTGCTACTTTATTTTGCTAAATTTTCCCCACCTCCCACCTATTTTCACTTGATTATCAGGGTTTTAAAAATGTTTGTATAATTAACAGGTGTGTAGTTGAAAGGTGACTAAAATAAAGCAGGTAACTTTACTGTAAAATTTGAGTATTTTGATGCATGTTTAATGCAAAATGCATGGTGTTTATATAGAGGGTGCCACACTGTTAGCGGATTGTATGTTTTTTTAAATAATGCAGCTTTAGTGTGTGTGTGTTTGTCACATCAAATTGTCACTTTCTATGGTGACATAATGAACTGGCACCTTTCTTGTATTTTCTTTCATATTGTTAAACTGCTTTTTGCCATTCTTTACCTAACCTTTGACCTGTAGTCTATTTTTACTCTATATTACCACAATCCATGTTTGCTTTTGTAGTTTTCCAAAGATAAAACATTGTTTATAGCTTGATGATACCGTTGCTTAGCTCCTTGCAGACAGTCCTGTAAAAAGTTCTAAAATGAATTGTTATTGTTTATATTGAACATGATTAAACCTCGCTCTTTCCCAACTTCATTCCAGAACATATGCTGAGTATTAGTCTTTTTTTTCTGTGCCCTTATCTATTTGTATGCATTAGAAATTGAGGTGTTAAATATTTTTATTGGTTTTTTATTGTGGTTTAAAATTAATAATAAATTTTTTTGAAGACTTAAAAATAATGTAATGGTTTGGTGGCAAGACAGTCCTAAGTCTCTAAGTGCCAGCTATCCACCTTTGCCCTGTTATAATCCCAGTCCCGTACCTATTGTGTAGCAAAACAAACAAGCTCTATCATTATGAATTTGAGATGCTATAATATTTTTCTTGTAGCTTATTCAACCATTCACCCCCATTTATAAATGGAACCTGCCAGGTGTACCTACAGGCTTCGACGTGTCAATCAAACGAGATGATATGACAGGCATTACGCTAAGTGGCAATAAAGTAAGTGCTCTAATGATAAATTAATATTTAATAATAAAATTTTTTAGGCACATGGACCTGGATTACCAGTAATAAACACTCTGGAGGTTTTAGTGAATTTCAGTTTGATTTCTTTATTGTATGCTTTTGATGAAAATTACAATAAAGTTTTTTTTATTATGTATTAGTGTGTTTCACAAGACCAACCATACACATGATATGCAACATAAGCAAAAGCTCAGTCCACAATATCAGAGGCTATATGTGACTTTCTGATTAGTGTGCAGGGGCACGGGCCGCCTCAACAAATCTTTGCGACCCTGGACCTCCCTCCCCCTCCAAATCATGCTCAAATAGTTGAAAATCACCTTATTAATTGAGGTAGCGCCCCTCAACTATGCCACTGATACTGGTATAGGTTTAATACCCGTAGGTCTATACATAGATATTTGTGACAGAAAATTCAAAGGTGTTGGCAAAACTTTGTTTAGGACAAGAATACGTTCAACAGAAAAGTCAACCTTTGAAAGCTACTAGATAATTTACCTTTACTGTAATTTTGGTATTAGGCACGCAAACTTGAGTTTTTATTGGGCGATGCAATTCACAAGAAGTGCAATGCAGTGATCACCGTTGGAGACGTTCAGTCAAATCACTGTAGAACGACGGCAGTAGCAGCCAGACAAGTCGGTCTGGAACCTCATCTGCTCATCAGATCTTCTTCTGAAGTAAGTCATTCATCCTTCATTGAAAACGTAAACAACCTGAAGTATCTTCTCTCTGATTGGCTATTAAATATAAAGTTTTTGATAAATAGTTAATGGTATTTTGTTACACTAAACCTTTCTATGGAAATTAAACATCCTGAGGTTTCTATGCTGTGTTTGGCTGATATGTGTGTTATGTGGCTTGTTGTTTTTGTTAAAAAGGGTGAGATATTAATTTGATAAATACTTGGATGTAAAGTACATTCAACACCATTTTACAGTAAGTGGTGAGTCGAGCAGCTGAGAGGTAAGGCAGGGGCACTGCTAAATGCAGCCTTACCAGTTGTCGCTAGTTTAATATGTTCCCAGGGTTTACTTAAAATGGAAACCAGTTTACACATCTGCACTTTCAATAACCTACAGTATTTGCATCCTTTTGGAAAAGTAGGGCATTACCCCAATGCTATGGGTCATTTTAGCCCTCGAGTGGAGTAAGGTGAACATTAACCTAATATAAGTGCCTACATACGGTGGCTAGGTAGTGAAGGGCCACGCCCATACAAAATTCAGCACAATGATGCTGTGAGTTACCTCTATCCTGATATACAGTCAAAATGCCAATATTCTGATTCTTCATATTTTTTTTTTTTAAGAATCCTGAACAAATTCCAAGTGAAGGTAACATGTTCATTGACATGTTAGTGGGATCTTCTTTGTACCTGGTGCCGCTGAAGCCTTTCCAAAACGAGCAAAGAATGGAGAAACTGGCTGAATGTTTACGGTAAGGTCTTAGAAATAATTTACGATAATAATATATAAGCTGATCGTAATTTATTTGATTCATTTATTTATTAATAAAAATCAAAATTTATTTAAATTTATAGTTTTTTTTTTTTTTTCATTTTCGCAGTCAATATTATATGATATTCATTGATGTTTGTCTTTTTAATGTTGTTATAAATAAATAGATAAATAATGTTGGGTTTTAGGTATGAGAAAGTAGCCGCAAACCTGCACATCTCTTCTAGGTAAACACAAGCTTCTGCCTATGTTCACAAATTCTATGTTTCTACACCTGCTTTCCACACTTTTTCTCCCATCATTCATGCCCAGAAGTTTTGTCCTTTGGGATAAACTTCCATCACATGTTTTCACATGCTATATTAATCGTATCAGTCTGCTCTCTTTCCTAATTTTCCTTTGGCTGGACTTGTCATAGGTTAGGTTCACCTTTTCTGGGCATAACAAATTAAAATAATAAATAAATAAAATAATGTTGGATTTTAGGTAAGAGAAAGTAGCCACATACCTGCACGTCTCTTCTAGGTTAAACACAAGCTTCTGCCTATGTTCACAAATTCTATGTTTCTACACCTGCTTTCGACTCTTAAATAATAAACTTATCATTGTTTCACCTTTTATTCCTTCTTTGAAAAAGAGAACAAAATATTATTACATGATAGAAGAATAGGTTTTTTTTTCCCTGATTCTCTCGTCATATTGTTAATTTGATTTTTTTTTTTCTACATGCCATGTTTCATTGTTTCTAAGACCACGAAATGAAATAATTCTTCTACAGTAAATCAAGAAACTTAAAATGTTATACAGTCAAACCAGGGGGATCCAATGCTATTGGTCTTTATGGTTACATTGAGGCATGGAATGAACTAATGCAACAAGTGAGTGTTAATTTTACACTGCTTTTGATGAGGGTGATACTGACAGTGAAGCTGATCATTTGGGATGAGGGTGGTAGAGACAGTGAGTGTTATTTTTACACTGCTGTTGATGAGGGTGTAAAAGCAAGTGAAGCTGATTATTTTTACTCTTTTATGCTTTATGAGGCGTGGGGTATGGAGAGCTGATCATTTTAACCCCTTGATCATGCATGGGGAGTGGAGATTTGATCCTTGACCCTTGACCTTGATTGTTTATAACCAAGTCTCTTTATGAGGCATGGTGAGTGGAGAGCTGAGCATTTTAACCCCTTGATCATGCATGGGGAGTGGAGATCTGATCCTCTATAACCAAGTGTCTTTGGGGAGGGAGAAGTTGATCATTTTAACTACTTGATCCTCTATAACCAAGTGTCTTTGGGGAGGGGGAAGTTGATCATTTTAACTACTTGATCCACTCTAAACAAGTGTCTTTGGGGAGGGGGAAGCTGATCATTTGGGCCCCTTGATCATCTCTAACCGAGTGTCTTTGGGGAGGGGAAGCTGATCATTTTAACCCATTGATCCTCTCTATCCAAGTGTCTTTGGGGAGGGGGAAGCTGATCATTTGGGCCCCTTGATACTCTTTAACCAAGTGTCTTTGGGGAGTGGGCAGCTGATCATTTGGGCCCCTTGATCCTCTCTAACCAAGAGTTTTTGGGGAGGGGGTAGCTGATCATTTGGGCCCTTGATCCTCTAAAACCAAGTCTGTTTATGAGGCTTGGAGATAGAGAAGCTGATCATTTGGGATCACTGTAGATAGTCTATAAATATATCTCTTTATTAGGGTTTGAAAATGTGTAGTGTATTTTTTACCAGAAATCTCAGGATATTACCTACAATGCTAGAGATGTACAGAGTACATCTTTCTATGGTTACTATCTCAGTATTACTGTAGAAGCTGAATGCTTAAAAAAATACATAAAATTATGTTTTGTTTTTTTTTTCATTTTTTTTTTTTCAGTGTGATCCTTTTTAGAGAATGCCATAATAAAAATGTTTAAATTGTTCAATTATTATTTTGCAGGGAATTCTTGAGCGATTTGATGATTTAGCTGTTGCCGTTGGTAGTGGTGGTACAGCTACAGGCTTAGCAGTTGCCAACTACCTCACTGGATCACACCTCAAGTAAGACTCAAGTAGCCCTTCCCCAACCACCACCCTCAAACACATCTTAGCAGTTGCCAACTGGGTCACACCTTGAGTAAGACTCCAACCCTTTCCCAACCACTACCCTCAAACATATCTTAGCATTTGCTAACTACTTTACTGGGTCACATCTCAAGTAAGACTACAAGCCTTCCCCACCATCTTCCTCAAACACATCTTAGCAGTTGCTAAATCCCTCACTGGGTCACACCTCAAGTAAAGACTACAACCAGTGATGGCTGTAGAATATATTTTTTGAGGAGTTGAGGGAGGCTGAGTGAAATAAGGATAAGTGTGGTGCACATCATCATCCTAGGGCCTTCTGACCAAAATAAGATTTTTTTTTTTTTAAATAGGGAGTCTCAGATTTGAAAAATACTTTTAAATGTAAATTTGATAAAATACAATTGTTACTATACTCTCAACTCAATAAACACGCATTTCATTTCAATAAGCTTCTTTTCTTCTTTTTTTTTTTGGTTTGACTGCCTGACGAGCTCTGGTCCGTGGGGTGGGGCTTAAGCCCCTGCTGCCTCCCACTGGTGCTGCCACAGACTAAACCCTTCTCCAACTACCGTCCACAAAACACACAGCAGTTGCTTTCTAACGCACTCAAAAAAATACAACAAGGATATTATTTGTAGTTACTTTAATATAGCATATTTTCTGACTCTTTTATTAAAGTTGAATTTATGAAACCCACTATGGACGTTAAAATCAAAAGAGAAAACATTGGTACTGAAGCTGAAATGCAATCAAAACCATTATTGACTTAACAGCCTTTATACAGTTTCCTGATAATAAACTAATTTATTCAGTATCATTTTCATTCTCCCTCTAATCTAAGACTTACTAACTCAAGATTGTTAATACTAAAATTTTTGAATATTTAAGTACTAGATCTAAAGACCTTGTGATAGTAGGACAGGCACCTTATCAAGCATGTCATAGTTACAATTTATTCTCATTGAAGTTATTTTATGCTGTTAATGACACACTACATTCAACAATGTATTAGATGACATTCTGATAAATAAATTCCCCACACACACATATACATCTAACACACACAGTTTTCCAGAAACACCATCCAGAATTAGATGTTTTTATTTCACTAAATTGATATTAATTTTCTTCATGTTGTACTTACACTCATCCAGACCCACCGTCCAGTATTTGTTATTAAGTTTTCTTCATTTTGTGTCTTTGCTTAAGAGTGCATGCATTTATGATCAGAAATGACAAGGTTTATGTTATCAACCATGTTACAATCACCCAGACCCACCGCCCAGAATTTGATAATGATATTTCTTCATTTTGTGTCTTTGCATCAGGGTGCATGCATTTGTGATCAGAAATGACAAGGTTCATGTTATCAACCATGTTACTGAAATCCTGGAAGAGATTGGTTTGGACCTTGAGGTGAAAGCTGAAGAACTGATTGACGTAGTAGAAGGCTCAATAGGCCTAGGTTATGCTAAGTCTACTCCAGAAGAACTAGGTATGCACCATTTATTAAGAAGTTACTTTATTTATAGTACTCATTGGTATACTAATATCTATTTTAAGTGAGCATGCTTAACAGCGTTCAGTTGAGAGCTTGATCGATAAACAGGGTTCGTACGCGTCCTTAAATTCCTTCAATGTCCTGAAAAAAAAAACAAATGAGCATTTTCCAGTACTGGAAATGTATGATTGCCCTTAAATGTCCAGGAAATTTGATCATTTACCATTTATTCAGTACTGCAAGTTGCCTAATAACAGTAAATTATATGAGAAAAGGTTCCTACAATATTCTTGGGAGAAGCAGGTCAAGTCTTTGTACATCGCCAGTTTAGAAATGTTATCGAAGACAGAAAGGATGTCAAACGCTGAACATGGCTGACTGACTGGTTCAGAAAAACTTGTGCGATTCAGTGAATGGAGTTGTTTGCCTATATTTTAGTAAAGCGGTGATTGTATATTAATTATATTTGCATGTAATTTTAATTCAGAAATTGATAAAAATCATAGTCATTAACTTTGTAACCATGGGAACGTATACTTCTACAGTTATTTTAATGAAGGGCGTTTACAGTTAGTCCTTGATTTTAGAGTGAGGTATTTCGTTAATTATGTTTCTAAAGTGTACAAAACCATTTAAAAAAACAATGCCGGTCGACAGCCTGTCAGTGCCGGTAGGACGGTGAGAACTTTGCTGTACGTTAACCCTTGCTGTATAAAAAATTATAAAAGTTTACGTAGGCCTACATCATTATAAATGTCAAAATACAGAGCTGAAATTAACAACTAGGGCCTCATAATAATAGACTGAATATCAATAATATTAGGCTCAATGAATAATAATACACAATAGTGCAGTATAGCATGTCAGTATGATGATGTGTAGAGAATAGAGCATAAACTTAATTAATTAATAATACAGTACATCATTAGTTTAGAGAAGTTTAAACATAAAAACCTAATTATATATGAAATACAATAAATTAACGTCTCCGCGACGTACACCCATTGAAGAAGACTATATTGTTTATTGTATATCCATATTATGTCAACTTCGCCGCAGCTGATCGTTGTTATCATTCGCTGAACAACAACCTTGGCAGATGTGTACTCCACCCTTCGGTGCCACAAAAAACCCAAGCTATTCTGGTGCCGGTACCGGAAAAGGCACTGACATGTTTACGCCATAAGATAAGACCATTGTTTACGCACACATTTGTGTTGCCAAGGAGAGAATTCTTCTCTAGTGCAACTGTAGGCAATCAGCCTTTGCTTACCAACAAATTTTTACGTGTGAGAAAAACAGAAAACCACCTAAAATAACATGTGCCAACAGTGTTTGTATATTCAAAAAGAAATATAGAATATTTCTAATCGAGGCTCAATAATTCAAGCTTTCATGGAAATAAGGAATCAGATTGTTTAAAATTATTATATTCAATTTATTTAAAAAAGAGAATTGTAACGTAACAGTTTAATCCATGAGAAAGTAAGAATTTTGGAACCATGAGACAACTCACAATAATGCAGGAGTAAGATAAGCCTTTTTTATGAATTGTTTATTAAGTATAACACTTGAAAATAAAAAAAGTAATGTACATAATGGTGCAACCCATGAGATTGTAAATCTTTGGAACCATGAGACTAAAACACACAATAACACAGGAGCATGGATAACATTATTTATTAAAGCAAAACATTATAGAAAATAATAAAAAAAATTTACAGTTAATTACATTATTCGTTATTCAATGTCAAAAGGGGCTACAATGACCTTTACAATGATCTTTTGGCCATTGTCCTGTCTATTTTGTGCTTTTTTAGTTCCTATGCATTTAATGCAATAGGAACTATTGTAATCACTTTTGCTATTTCCTATGTTTTTTATTGTGTGTAGTGTGTGTGTGTGTGTAGACATTTATGCAAATGCGCATGCGTCAAAGAAAAGTTTTCCGACATTTTGTTTTACATCGCGATGCGAAG